AGCAGGAACGAGGAGGAGAGGGACCCACGCGTCGAGCGCATAGCTTCCTCCATCAGGGTCGTCCCCAACTTTCCAAAGCCAGGTGCTAATAATAAAACGCTCTCCTTCTCAATATATTCTGACCAGTCATCGTCAAGATCCAATTTTGACGGCATGGGTTTGATTAAATTGAGATTTTTACGTTTTAAAAACAAACAAATAAATAAATAAATAAACCCCCCACCTTGGTTGATTTTAGGCATAATGTTCCAAGATATCACTACTCTGCTGCTGGATCCTCGGGCCTTCAGGGACACCGTGGATATGTTTGTGGACCGGTACACTGGAAAGGGCATCTCTGTAGTCGCTGGTAATTAATTTCCCCAGCTCCTCTCTTCTTCGTATTGAAAGTGCATGTGGAAATAAAAATTAATGGCAGCTGCGATCGCTGTCTTTGAAATGTCGGTTGTAGATCCCTTCAGTGCTGCTGCAGTTTTAGGTCATCATTGCACGTTGAACAGCTCTTTTTTTCTTCTTTGCTTTTTTTTTTTTTTTTTTTTTTGGTTGAGAGTGGCAGGGGCTGCTGCTTTGACCCTGTTACAGTTTCAGGTAGCCTTTGATGCTAGTCCTTTTGATGATGATGACGAAGACGACTTCACTGTGGACCTACAAACTCTGAAAAGTTACGCCGGTTTTTTATTTTTATTTTTATTTTTATTTTTATTTTTTTGTTTGGTTGTTGTTGACTATTGAGTATTGGACCGCAGTTGGACCCTCTGTCTTACTTGGAACTTTTGAGGAATTCTTAGTTTCCCCTCATATAAAATCTTACTTTGGTTGTAAAATAAAAAGTAAAATCGTCGTGAATGATAGTGGCTTGCACTTTTCGTATAGGGTGGAAATTAAACCTTGTGGTTATAATTATATAGAAGCTGAATGCAGAGCGTTATCTTTAGAGACGCAGGGCTATGAATTTCCTATGTGTACGTAATTTTATGAATTGTTATTAACTACCACAGCCTTTTCTTGTTCCAATGCTAATCATCATCTAGTTCATTCCCTACATTTTTCTCCTCACATGTCGTCAACTTGTTAATTGATTTCTCTAAATTATATGCATTGCTTGGGTAGATGTTTGTTTTGAGTCTATTCCTATATATAATTAAAACCCTTGATTATGTGTTCATAAGATGCTTGGTTTTATCTTTAATTGATCTTTTGCTTCTGAACACAAACATTTTTTTAATCTTCTCTTCTTTCTGGTGTAGAATTTATTGTTCAGTAGATAGATTATTGGCGGCAGGCAGCCTTTAAGCATTTTTTTTTTCTCAATGAGTTCCGTAAAGAGCAGTTGCAACCTCACATCAGCATGAATTTTATTAATGGTACATTGAAGTGTATTATATGAGGATGAGTGGTTGTGTGTCCTAGTGACCTTGACTTTTATACAATTGCTATTTTGATGGACTGACTTGAAAACTAATTTTGTGCGGATGCTGAAACTATATTGCGTCAGCTTGAGAGAATAATATTAAGGCATTTATATTAGACTGTTGTCTGTTCTGATAATCTAGGCAGGGTTTCAAATGTTGTTATTGTTGTTACGTTGGTCTGTGCCTGCTACTAGCATATTCACATTGAAAATTCAAAAATGAGTTCCACTTTATATATTTATTTATGGTTAATTGCAGATAGACCCCTTCAGTATCACTGATATGTACTGACTACCTGTTATGTGCTTACTACCCTTGCAGCTTCATTGCTGCAGATAGACCCCTCTGGACTAATTTTTTTTTGGAACCCTTGTATCCTTGTCGAAATTTTGGCAGATATTGCCTCTAGGTGAAATTAGCGAGTCTATGTAAGGGTAAAAGAGTTTTGTAAGCAATGTAAGTACATGGGTAGTAAGTTCAAAACAGTTTTGTAAGTCTACTATATAGGGTCTATGTGCAATCTACCTTTTTTTGTTATAACATCACAACGTTTGTTTTGTTTTTTTTTGTTTTTTTTTAAAGGGGAAAGTGGGGGGAAAGCTACCACAGTGTCAGAACTGTGGCACCTTTCTACCAAAATCATAAGAGGCGATTTTGGGAGAAAGCTGCCACAGTGTCAGAACTGCGGCAGCTTTCCACCCACTTTCCCCTTAAAAAAAAAGGGCCCTTAGTGAAGTACAGGTCTTGTTTTCTAGCATATTTATTAATATCTCATTTAGTGAAAAAGTTTGATGACATTCCTTTTGGCACTTCATATGAGTATATGAATGATGGTCATATTTGATGGAATATCCAAGGATGTGTACTACAAGTGACACTTCTTGCAACATTCATTTACAATTTCCATGTTGGATTTAACAGGAATTGAGGCTAGAGGTTTCATTTTTGGCCCTCCGATTGCACTAGCAATTGGTGCAAAGTTTGTACCATTGAGGAAACCAAGAAAGCTACCAGGTACTTCCTCTTGTTGCACTATTAATGACTTCAATTCTTGCCCATGTACTTCTTTCACTTCGTAGCTACTACGTGTCATGCAATCTGACGATTCTTGCAGAAAGCCGTCCTCCGTCCCGTTGATCCAAGGGCTTTATTGACTGACTACCCACATCTTGTTACCTTGAAGCGCTAATGTACCCGGCAGCGCGGAGTAATTTATTTTCCATTTCATAGTCTCTTACAGGCTATACAAATATAAGACGTAGGTATTGACAGCTAGAAACATCAGTAAGCCATGAATCACGCAAATATTAATGACATACAATCAGACTATCTCCAGCACGAGTCAAAATTTTAACCTTCTCTCTCTTGCCACATCACTTTATTCCCCCTCCACATAATTCAACAATCTCCATTTTCTATCATCTCTACAGCAGGAGCACATCACTTTATTCCCCCTCCACATAATTCAACAATCTCCATTTTCTATCATCTCTACAGCAGGAGTTTTTTCAAAAGATTTTTACTTTATTTGGGACCCACTATAACCCCATCACTCCAACATATATACCCCATCACTCCAACAATCGTCACATGTCGCGTGCTGATTGGTAGGCGCCTTTAATTTTTTTTTAAAAAAAATACACCTGCATGCTTTTTTAGCGGGACCCACGCGGTCAGAAAAACCAATGGTGAAATATTCACCCATTTGACCCCGATTTTCCATTTCACCACCCAAAAAACCACATGCTAGAGCAAAAAACCCCCCCAAAAACCACCTGCCGGAGATAGCCTATGAAGGTGCTATATTGTTGCTTAAATAAAAGTGAAGTGAAACATTTGAATTATATATATTCCCATATGGTGACAAGTAGGGTAACAAATTAAGTGATAGAGAGTTCTTATCGTAACTAATTGTTTCTACTTCACATTGTGAATCTGTAACAAATTAAGTCTTGTCTAAAGTTTCATAAGAGCAGTTGATCGAAATTATGTGGCCTAATAGAAATAAGCAAAGATTGAAAAAAATAATTTAAGCTAGTGTCCGGTGAAATAGCATCATTCCGGTCTATCTTTGAATATCTAATATTCCCGGGTTTTCTTGGTGGACTGCGTGTTGAGCATATAATTATTAAAATTGTAAGTTCAGGACAACAAATTGAATACATATATGTCAGCATCAGATTACATCAAGGTTGTAGAGTAATTTAAATTCTTATGTGTTGTTGAAATATCATCGTTCCCGTCTATCCTTGAATTTCTAATAATCGTTCCCGTCTGTATTTGAATTTCTGATATCCCTAATTTTCTTTGTGGACTGTGTATTAAGTATACTCGTTAAATTATTAAGTTCGGGACGATAAAGTGAATACATTTATGTCGGCATCAGATCATATTGAAGGTTGAAAAGTGATTTAAAATCTTATGTGTCGCGCGTGAAATTATCCGCAAAGATGATGTGTATAGAGGTTGTCGCTGCATGTATGTCATCTTTCTGGCCTGGCTACAAAATTCTTGTATTACTTTTTATGGTAGGTATAGGTACAAATAGATAGGGGAATCACATTATCGGCTGATCACAATTAAATATTATACCTTGTGGATGATATCCAGGGTGGTGTTTACAGATGCTGCCAATGCGAGACTGACTGACTTGAGGCCCTGTAAATTGGCAACGAAGTAAAAAAAAAGTTATGGTGCTTCATCCTATAGTTGAGATTTTTCTCTTACTTAGTCCAGTATTAACAAATATCTCGCAAGGCAAAGACAGTAACGTGTCTAGTAATTCTTTGGCTTGAAACCAAGTGACTTCACCGTGATCCAAGCATGGCAAGTGAGCCCTGTAAATATGTCTTGAACTTGGGCCCGTGTCCCTCTTGTGGCCTTTACTTTCACTCTCTGAACGACGCGTGGGGTGCCCTTAGATCTCTGCCCTGGCCCATATCCGACCACGGCTGCTAGATCATTAGGAATCCTAGTACTTTGATCAGTATTCATATTCCTGCTCTATACAAAGTATATTTGGATTTTGGGGACGTTGTAAAAATTTGAAGGCACTTGTTGAAGGGATAGAATCTCTCTTTTCTCATAACTTTGGGGGCAATCCTCCGGTCTACCTAGCTATGGCTAACCTGGTCGATGACATTTTATTCAAAAGTTTAAATTCTTTCCCGAAACACGTGTGGGTGCTCATGCCAATTGCGTGTCATTTACTTTGTCTCCCTGTATTTTGGTGTTCTTCTGCTGTGCGTTTAAGCCCTGCTTTAATATATCAGAACTTTTTTTAATGCTTAAATGAAGAATATTTCTCTATGTAAACCAGATAAGAATTTGTATTCTCAAACGTAGGTGAAGTCATATCGGAAGAATATGTTCTGGAATATGGAACAGATTGTCTGGAGATGCACATCGGCGCCGTTCAGCCTGGTGAACATGCTTTAGTAGTTGATGACTTGATTGCAACTGGTGGAACACTCTGTGCAGCTATAAATTTGCTGGGTATGTGATTTAGAAACTTTATTGCTCGTCGTAGATACTAGTTCGATGCTTAATGATACCTGTCATTGCCATCATTGCTGAACATCTATCAGACTTGGTTCGTAAACTGTCATCAAACGCTACACCAATTTCTGCTAACTGCAGTTCGATTGGTAAACACTATGCTGCAGTTAAATTGTCATTAGTTACTATTGGACTCGACCAACAATAAAGAACTTCGCAGCTGTTGGCTGTCATCTTCTCCAATTTGCCATGTTACACACGCGACTTTACTTCGTTTTTATAAATATTTGTATTTTATCGGTTCCAACTTCCTTCTCCTGGTTAAGTCTAATGATTCTCCATTGTTGATATCTTCCATATTTCCAGAGCGTGTAGGGGCTGAAGTTGTTGAATGTGCCTGTGTGATTGAGCTGCCTGAACTCAAGGTATGCTAGAGAAACTCGTTTTGTTTTCATACTCAAGATCGTTTATTTATGTTTCCTAATTGTTAGTTCTGATTATTGTAATTTACCAGTCATAACTAATGCAATTAATGCGAGAAAGAAAATTGCAAATGGTACTTCTGTACTTCTGTTGTACCGGCTGATCGCCACTTCTATGGGTTAGGTAATAAGGCAAAGTTTTTCTTTTAGTTTAACTCTAACCAGCCAAAATGTGCATTGGTAAGAGGATATATATGGACGGAGATTTGATACTCTTTTTCTTTGAAGGATGTGCATTCAATCAGCTCCTTGTGAATGTAAATAATAAACGAAGGGAAATTTTAATCTACACTTTAGAGGATATGGACAGTACATTTTACGTCTTATATTGCATCTTATTTATATATGTTCATTGCCTATTATGCTGTTTAATAAGCAAAATTAGCGGCATTTGAGGCGTAAGTATATATCTATATTTTTATGCGCTTCTGTCTTTGAAACTGTGATCTGACTCCAGTCACCATCAAATTAAGCTGTGTATAAACTCGACACTAGATTTCTGTTTTATCTTGTGTTTAAAATCTTAATTAAATCCTTTTCCGCAGGAAGTAATCAACGTCTAATTCTCTTATTATGCGTAGCTGCATCTTATTCTAAACGATTTTAACTGACAAGAGGAAAGCTGAATGGGTGTGTGGTGCAGGGCCGTGAGAGACTAAGCGGTAAGCCATTGTACGTACTCGTGGAAGCTCGCTGAGATTGTACTGCCTACGATATTTCTCAGGCGAGGAATTCTTCTGCTTTCTGTACACTAGGCCACTTCATTTCCGAGTTGGAAGCTTGCTTTCGTATTTTGATCCATGCTGCCTGTATAATCCCCGTCTGTTCACGTTGCTCTTGAAATGTAAACGGTTGATTAAATTTTTATCTCCAAACAGATATCGCTTCAGTCAAAGCGTGATACCTGCAGACTTAAATTATGATATAACTAGCAAAAAAAAAAAAAAAACACGCATGGAGAATGAAGAATGCATACTCAACAATTAAAACATTATGGAGAAATCTAGTAACAAAGATGGTGGCATCACTCTTACTTTCGATCCCAACTATACATGATCATCTGCAAACATGAAGCCCAAATAATATTAAATGAAGAAGAGGCTGAAAGATTTAAGCTCCTTTGTAGTTCACATCAGAATTCAATAATAGAATAAACCTCTATGTTTGCGGTGAAAGTTGATATCTTCATTAAGGTACTCATTACAAATTCAGTCGTTACAATGAAAATACAAAAAGATAGTCTTTTTATAAGACTTTTACACAATAAAAATACAATTATCGTCAAACAGCGCAGAGATCGTTTATCGGTCTTCTGTTTGCGTGGAATCTTGGCCTATGACAGGGACGTTGATATCCGTGGACCACCAAACGATCAGATCAGATCCGGAGATTCGTCGATTCGCGAAGGAATCAAGAAGCCGAAACGCTTATCTCGGCAACAGCGAGATAATTGCTCTTCTTAAGATCACCGCAACGGGGTAATCTTAAGGGACGAATCGGGCTGCAGATCTGACGAACTCCTCTTCTTTATGCTGAAGAATCTGTTGAAGTCTCCTCCTCTCTAAAATTCGTGCACCTTTAGTCTTCAGTCCGACAGGGCTTCGCCAACGCTCGAGAATTCCAGATCTCAAAAAATGAAGGCCCTGGGTTGTATTTATAGGCTTCAGGAACCCTGTGTTGAATAAGAATGGCCGATTCCCTCTTATCTTCAGTTGAAACCACTTAACCACATTATCAGATCAGTTGGAGCAAATCCAGGCAGTTAACGATTGAAAAACCGCCGAAAACAACCAAAACCAGCGTTTTTTGTATTGGAGACACTTCTGATGTATTGGTGACACTTCTGAGTGTCTTGGCCAAGCCGAGACACTTTGAAGTGTCTTGGCTTGGCCAAGACACTTATAAGTGTCTTGGCCAAGCCAAGACACCACGGGGTCGTCTGGACTCGGAATTACGTGGTTCAATATGCGTTGGAAAGCCGACGAGGAGATCTACAGGCTCCCATGATTGAATTACATGCGGAGTAAATGAGACGCGAGGGGTGCTCCGCCTTTCGTAAACGACGCGGGGCTCCCGATCAGGTCTTATTCCCGTTATTCCGAAGTTTCGTTGCTTTGTATGGTTCGTCGACTCACTTCATGTGTTCGTCGTCGTCAAATGAGCTCATGTGACTCGGATAGCGACATTCATCGTCTTCTCTCTGTCTCGAGCCGTGTGCGGGGACCAATAGGCAATTTTGGACGCCTACACTCTACACTAGCCATGATCCACTCAAATTGGAGCCCAAGACCCCTATTTATAGTTGAGTAAGAGGGGTGGGAAGTGTGTAGAAGAATCAATCCTAACCATACATTAGTAAGAAGTTTCTAGAGGAATAAATACTAGTCATACAGTTGTATTCTCCTAGCTAGAAACTTTTTGGTAGATATTTTGTAGGATGTTTCTAGGAAGAAGTTCTAGAAATTTGCTCTAAAACAATCTAAGTTGGTGAGGAATTCTAACAATAATAGGCTAGATGACTTCTCAAAGAAATGTTTATCGATGAGCAGTACATGCTCGACCTGCATAAACCGCAGCATTATCAACGTAACCTTGGCAAATATTGGGGAGCAGAATGAGCTTTGCTCATATAGTTGGTGGTAGAAATTTTATTTAATTTATCGTCTAAAGTCAGTGCTCTCATAATTCCTATCATTTAAGTGACACGTTCTACGTTCTGCCTGAGCCAGGGTCTGCCTCTCCTATTAATTCTATAGGTTTTTTTTTCTTTTTTTTTCGGGAGCAGTGGGGGGTGGTATAAATACAATGCAATCAAGCATGCATGAATATATATCAATGCTCATTTAACTGTTGATCAGTTCTTCCCTTCAAGTCAACATGAAGCGGCTAGCTGGAGCGTGTCATAATTGCTTCTGTAGTAAAAGAAGCAAACTAAAAGAATATGTAGTTTTAATTACTTGTATATGATCAGCATCAATGATACTAATTACAATAATCAGAGAGACTAATTAAGAGAGAGATCTTCTTCTCTTCTCCCTGCGTACGTAACGTACACCACCTCATTGATCATAATAATGCTTGAGAATATTTGGTACGTACGTTACTCTGCCTTTTGAGTCTCTAGAACGAACACGTACTGCTAGCTGCTCAAGGTTCGGCTACATTTATGTGTGTGTGTGTGTATACACCAATATATATACTAATCGTCGGGGATCCATTAATGATAATTCTAAAACCCAATACTCAACTTATTCTGGCTTTCTTGCGCCGGAGGATGGGCAGAATCTGAAATAGTTAGCCGTCAATAAAAATTGGGTCGATCTAATGGGCCAACTTATATATATCCCTATTATGATTTTGATTCGATCCTTCTTCTTCTTTTTTTTTCTTTTTTCCCCCCCGGGTATTGATAAAACAGGGAATTGAAGGGAGGAACACAGCTGCTGCAATTAATACTCTCCTCAACTGAAAGAGTTCATGCGCGGGTACGAGTCTGGAATGCATAATTTCCTTACCCTCCCACGTGCTTGTGTATAATTACATTCAGATCACAGATGTGTAGGCCCTGTTCATTGTACAAAATAGGTAAAGGCCTAAAGGGGGAGGATCTGATCTTGGAACGTAATCATCAGGATTTAAGTAAAACAAGGGAATTAATAAGTGGTGAGCCCAACACGGGCAGAATTAAATGGGTGTCGATGCTAGGGCGTTGAACCGAACGCCTGGCCCATTTAATGTTAACAACGCTAAATTACGCCAAGTGCCACTATACGCTTGTGCCGGAGATCCCGATCCCGATAATAATTAAAGAGAAAGATCTGAAATTTTTTCCTCACCTCCCTAATCTTACTTTGATTTTCAACCTAATAAATTTGAGGGTTTGAACGTGAAGAACTTCCTTTTATTAAGGTATATATATATATATAGTCTAAAATCATCCTCGTTGGGGTGAAACCGAACCGAATATTTAACAAATAGTTCGGTGTTTATTTGTTTAAGTAGTCAGCCATGTTCATTTTGATAGCCCACTTAACAACGAATGAATGAATAGTTTTTAGTACTATTCGCTTCATAAACAAATAGAATTTAACCACATGAATGTGTAAACTAATTGTTTATATATTACACTTTAGACATATAAGTTTTTGTTACCCTATTTTCCATGCATCCTGATAGTTTTCTTACGCATACAGCCTCATATAAGTAGTTTTCGATATGTGAATATCATATTTTATCACTAGATTGCATAATCATTGGTCGTATAATTTTATCACCATGTTACTTTTTATCACTTTAAGACTAAGATAGGATAATGAATATTTATAAAATATTTACCGAATATATATCTACCGAATATAAACCCGATAATTCACAAAAAAAAAAAACAAATGCATATAAACTATTCACAAATTAATAGTTGTCAAATATTCGAATATTAATCCAATTGAAGTTGAACACACATTTTCTATTTGTTTCGTATATGAATTTGAGTAGTCAAACGTCAAACCTAATACGAATTCGAATATTGGGTAATTGGTTCGTTTCCAGTTCCACCCCCTGCATCCTCATGCTAAGGAGGTCGATCAAGTAAATGTATACAGTGTGCTCAGGGGCGGAAGAAGACAATATTAGGCAAGATTAATTATTATTTAGCTCACTTCTACACTCTCTTAATAAAGGACCATGTGAATTGCATGTGTTTCTGTATTACCTGACACCAGTTTTTTTTATATTCTCTCTAAAATTAAAAAAAGGAGGACATTGTGTCGTATAAAAATTCTCAACACGAATGTGAACGGAATCCGCTTTCGTCCCGCACGTTTGGGGTGGTACCTGTGATGGACAACCTTATTATGCACATATTTTGTGTTCAGTGGTGTGAATATGTACGTATGAGGGGGTTGATGAACAAATTTTCTAAATAAACTCAATCCTAATTTTATTCTTAAATCGATCGTATTCAAACTTTATTACAAAAATCGACCTACTTTCTCGTCACGTCAGCATCGTGACCAGAAAGTGGGTCGATTTTTTTTAAACGCGATCCTAATTAGTCGGGGTTGGCAACCCCGACTATTTTGGACGTCGTTGACGATTTGACAACCTAATTAGTCGGGGTTGAAGCCCCAACTAATTTAGCACAAGTTAAAAATGGTCGGGGTTGGGAACCCGACCATTTCGAATTGCCTAATTCAGAATGGTCGGGGTTCCCAACCCTGACCACCAACCCTGACCATTTAGTAAAGAGTGGTCACCTCGCCCTCCAGTAGTTAAAAATGGGAAATTGGCTAAGGAACAAAATAGTCGGGGTTGGCAACCCCGACTACTTGTCTGAGACAGAATAGTCGAGTGGCCACACCCCCAGTAGCTCGAGTGGGAAATGGTCGGGGTTCCCAACCCGATCAATTTAAACATGTGCTAAATTAGTCGGGGTTTCGAACCCCGACTAAATAACCCCGACCAATTTAAACATGTGCTAAATTAGTCGGGGTTTCGAACCCCGACTAATTTAGCTGGCAAATTATCAGCGACGTCCAAAATAGTCGGGGTTGTTAACCAAACTAATTAGGATTACGCTTAAAAAACGACCTACTTTTGATCGCGATGCTGACGTGACGAGAAAGTAGGTTGATTTTTTTAATAAAGTTTGAATAGGATTGATTTTTGAGAATAAAATTGAGAATGTGTTTATTAAGAAAATTTCTTCGGTGGGTGGATAAGCATTTCTCGCGTCGAGGCTCGAACAAATTGTGTTAATTCGTCGTCTTCTGGAACTTGGTGCTGGCTTCTCGATGTTAGCCGCAGCGCCCCCCCCCCCCCCGCGCCCTAAATTGCTTATGTTTTAAGGTTTCAATTTTAATTGTCTTATAGTCTAATCTGGCTGTTTTGTTGCTACGAAGAGGAGGAAGAACGGAATGGTCTATTTTATCCAACAAAATGCCGGCCCTATATTGAACCAACCAATTAAATATAGGAAGCATTCAAGCAGAGCACTCTATATAATAATTTTTTGGATTCACACTCTCTCTAATTAGATGATAATCATAAAGTATCCAATTATCCCAATCATTAACATCTGTTCCATTTTTAAGATGGGTGAATTATCATATTAGTTATTTTTTCTTGGGTACACCCCTCTTACCATATGCTTTGGTGTTTTTTCTGACCCAAATGTCTAATTAGACACGCACGGCGAAAATAAAGTAGTGAAACCTCTTTCCCATAGTAGTTTTTGACCTCATAAGCTTTTTTTTCACAATATTTGGAGGTAATATCATGTCGTCTCATTCTTTGTTCCAAAATTTATTTATTTTTAGTGGACTCATCGTCTTTTCATAAGCTTGTACATAGTTAGTATCTTTATACCAATGCGCCAAATAATCTTCGGACACGTCCCTCGTCAATAAGGTAGCACTAATATTTCACCGTCGAGAAAGTTTCGAGTCTAACTGCACATTTGGCTCAGAAAAAAATACCAAAGTATCACCGGTGCTTAAAAAATACTAAACTAGCAAGAGAGGTGTACAGAAAATACTGATTTGGTAATTTTAGCCAAAATAAAATCAATAACATATCGGTTCCTTTGATGATATGAATTAATTCTGATCTTACTGTGGCTAAGTTTGCCGGCAAAAGAATAAGTTAGCAGAATATAGTAAATATTAGAAAATGGTTGGAATAAATATGATTATTAACAAGCGTACCTCAGTTATTCAGGCCAAAGAAAGAGTTAAAAATGCTACCAGGAGAGAAAACCACCAAGTCAAAGACTACAACTGATTACTTTTTAACAGCGGGGCGTGGAACATTCTCGCAAGCTACAAACCCAGCTACTTGGAATTTGGCTGGCTACGCCTACAAGACAAATACCGTACTGTTCCCTTGGCATACACGAGTGAGAATGAGACCGCCTTATTAAAACAAGCACACCAAAAGAAAAATAATAGTTTCAAGGACCCAAAATAAATAAATAGATCTGTAGTGTGATAGTACCACGTGATGCTTTCAAGTGGCGATGAGATTTAAAAAAAAAAAAAATCTAATACCAATTGCAAATATATAACAAAAACCTATCGCCAAAAAAATGATCGATATACAAATACCAATTGCAAATAAACCGATCTTTAGGGTATTTTTTTTTTGTGTGTGTAATTTAACCGCCATTGGATAAGTTTTGCAGGTTACGAACATTCACCTCTCTTCTTTTTTTATCTCGACTTGTAAACTGTAACAGTTAATAGAAAAGAAGAGTAAAATCTAGCTTCGCTCTAATTTGAGCACATGGGCTTTAACATTTTCAAGTAAGACTGTTTAAAGATTATTTAAGTATTATCTAACTAGAGTTCAAACAATAGAAGGTGTTATTTGACAACATGTATTTATTTACGGTCACAAAAGTAGTAGCTTCTGAAAAACAACGCAAAAGCTAATTTGGAGCTATTCCACCGAGACAAAACAACCACTGTCCTCTTGTCCCATTGCCTTAATAATCCTCCATCCACCACAAATCCAAATTAGGAAGTAGAAATTTAAACAAACGGCTTTTTTTTTTTTTTTTTTTACCATAGAACGAGAAATTTCCCCATCCAAACCAATTCCCCCCCTATTTTTTTCTAATATCATTAAATTTTCCATTACACCAAAACAAGAGGGGGGGGGGGGAAAACACAAGGAAGATTTACAGAAGTGTAAAAAAAAAAACAAAAAACTGCTCCGAACGCATCTACCCGGTTCGGGTTAAAGCGGCCGAGCCTGTTTAAAAAGCAGCCCGAAAATAACCAGCTAAAAGTTTTATAAAAAGAAAAAGAAAAAGAATATCAACTCTCTTGTTAAAATCTGGCTTCGATGTCATTATATTCTAGGGTTACTTTATTTTGGACATCACTCCCGTAAATCTTTAATATTTTCAAATTAATATCAAACGGGGCAGAGACTAATTTCAAAATGTTAATGATTTATTTAAGGGACTGGCTAATAATGTACAAGAGAAGAGAAAACCTAGATTTTATAGATGATTAGGAAACAAGGAAGCACCGCCCGCGGATCGAGCACGACCAGCTCCCCTTTCCCAGCACCGCAAACGGACTCTCCGCGCGATTCCGGATCCGACCCGCTCCGTACGCGGCCCACGATAACGCTCTGCACCCAGCATCGCCTACGCGGCCCCACGCCGCCGCTCTCTGTGGCCCCACCGCTGCCCGCGAAGGTCTTATCCCCCCGGCTCGAAAGACGCTGGCTCGTAGATCCCGCGCCGCCGGGGAGGAGGAGGAGCAGTGGAAGCGCAATCATCTCGTTGCGTCGGCGGCGCACCGGGCGTCGCTGGCGCCGGCGCGGGCGCGGACCAAGGATCGGTACTCCTCGAAGCGGGGACGTTCGGGTGGGGTTGTGGACCCGGAAGACATCTCGATCCGGCCCGGGACATGCAGCCGCCCGGGGACCAGCTGGATCCGAAGATTATCTCGACGACGCGGCGGGAGGGTGGGCGGAGGGGAGCTCGGCCGGGGCGGAGAACGACGGGGTGGGCCCGCGGGGCGGAGGCTGGGACGGGGTGCTGGGTTGGTGTTGGGTTTGGGCTTGGGCTTGTACTTGGGTTTGGCTGGGCTTGGGCGTGATGGAGTGGGGGGATGATGAATGGGTTCGTCTTCAGGGGGTTTTTTGGGGAGGAGGAAGACGACGTCGCGGAGAGTTTGGGTTGAACCGCCGCAGGAGCCGGCCGGGATTAGAGCCTTCTTGGGTTTGGGGACGCAGACGACGTCGTCCAAAGCGGTGGACTTGCATTGGAGGGATTTGAAGAAGCTCGTCGCCATATTTTGATTTGACAATAAATAAATAAATAAATAAGAAAAAAAGAAGAAGAAATTAGAGGAAACGGGAGAGGATTTATAGAGAGAGAGAGAAAGAGAGCGAGGCACGGGGGATTTTTGAGAGTCCGAGTAGGGGAAGGAGAAGAATGGTAGTTTGATACCCAATTTATTAGGGGTTTTTTTACTTGCTGCCACCCTCTAATGTGCCTATTTAATGCTGACCCTTCCTCTCTCGCTTTTTTGTATGAAAACGTTTGCATGTTACGACCTAAACAATGTGTTGTATTGCAACTACTCTTCTTCTTCTTTACTTTTCTTTTCTTTTCTTTTCTTTATTTTTTTCCTTTTTTTTGAATCAATTCTACTTACTTTTATATATAGATTCATTACCTTTTGGAAAATTTAAGTCCGCCAATTTTTTGGTGGATAGAAACTGACTAATCGGTGTAGTGCGGATCACGTACTGCAAGGGGGTCCACCCAAAGCTTCTATTTCAATTTTCTCCATTATTTGGACCCAACAAATTAGATGTAATAATCATGAAAGTCTTGAAAATTGTAAGCAACATGACAACATCTCAAAATATCCAGAAGATCCCGTGTTCATTGAAAAATGGTTATAGTATTTTAAATTATAAATAAGCAGATATGTTGGCCTAATAAATGTATCACGGAAAATCAATAAACAGAGATTTTTTATATATATATATATACTTTCTAAGAGAGACAAGCACATGATAGGAAAGCCAACGGTTGACCTAATCTTTCGAGCTCATAATGAGCCAAAATCGATAACAGTTGACTTGCTCAGGCTGAGGTTATCTATTTTACCCACTCTTGGAGCTCTATTTGTGAGGCAGAATATTTTTGTATTTTTCTCTCAAATTACAAATGGAATAGCTTTACAGGGTGTTTGTTTCACCAAAAATTTTGGTATTTGGTATGGATTACAAGTTTCAGGAATAAAAAATAAGTTTTTTTTTTGTATTTTGGGATTCCATATATGATGTTTGTTATAAGAAAATTTTTAGATTATTGAATCCCAAAAGTACAAAAAATACCTAATTTTTAGAAATTGCCAAATCCTCTCAATTTGAGAGGATTTGACAAATCACAATTTTGTCTTTTTGTGGGAGGAACCTCACTAAGATAGCATATTCATCATATTGCAAAATTTTGGTATTTGGTAATGCTATAATTTGAGTTTGAAACAAACAAAATATTATAAATTATAGTATTCCAAATCCTAAAATATTAATGAAACAAACAATATTTTAGAAATCCTAACCCATAACAAAACACCTATGAATTTCAAATCCCATCGTGAAATCCATATCCTAAAATTATTGGATTTGAAACAAACTCCTAGCTTTAGCATAAACACTTATTTAAAATATTTTTCGTCTGTAGATTTGATTCAGCAGTATATATATATATATATATGGGTATGCTTGGTATCAAGCACAAATTTTGTGCTTGGTAGTGATGTGTCACATCCTCATCCACTCACTACCCATGTGAATTTGTTCCTACATTTGAATGAGTAGAGGGGGATTTGACACATCACTACCAAACATAACTTTTTGTGCTTGGTACCAAGCATACCCATATTTCTCATATTCCTACATTTGAATGAGTAGAGGGGGATTTGACACATCACTACCAAACATAACTTTTTGTGCTTGGTACGGGTGGTTTATTCTGGTATTAAATGTCCTTTTACCGCCCTTTTCTTTTACTAGGACGAAAAGCTAGATGTTACTCTATACCACAAGTTTGGTGCAACGGTAGATACCGTAATTATGAAGGAATTAAAGGTAAAGATCACAAGTATCTATTGAAATTATGATTCCTCGTTTGCGGGCTTAGAGAGGGTAATAATGTGGTTGGTTTTGGCTAAGCCCAAGAATGTTGGGTTCAGCGCCTGGTTCCATGTGGGCTCAGCACGAGCTTCATCATCATTGCTTTGCTATAGTAAGTTCGTAGTGTGGAAAGCCCTCGGGCGCCGATGAATAGTCTTGGCTATAGCCTATAGCATTAGGTTGTGAATTTAAGTACTTGTTGATTTAATTTGTCTCGCCGCTTTTGGACTCCTACGAGGTTCACCTTGTTGTGAGATGCTCATCGAACTCATCAAGATTCGAGGCATCATACAAGGATGAAGGATTTGAGTATATATGTTAATTAGTGGATTAGTTATCATGTAATTGGTCCGTTTCATTGGAAATTGATGGATTTAGAGGAGCGGGGGCACTGACGATCATTAGAATAGAATGGTTTGTGATTATTTGAACATATATAATTAATAAGAAAGATCCATTTCATTGGTGACAACACGTTATACACTGTTTCTTTGAGAAGACGGATGAGGCCAAGAGCCTCAACCTGTCTCATTCAATCAGGACAAAAACAACATGAAAGAACTGCAGGGAGAAATAGATGAACAAAAATAAAGAAAATACAGGCGAAATAATCAACAGTTATGTGCCATCTGAAAACTAAACAAGTGGGAGGAAAGAATATCTTAGGCCCTTAGGGGGTGTTTGTTTCAAATCCTATAATTTTAGGATATGGTTTTCACCGAAACAAACACCCCCTTAAGAGCCCGTTTGGATAATGGAAGTATTGAAAATAAGAATTAGGTTATAGAAGTAACTTTCAAAACTATGAAATAGAAAGATGCGGAAATAGCATCTTTTTTTTTGTTTTATATATTTTTAGAAGTAATGAAAGTAGAACTTCTTCCTCTTCATTTATCTTTTTTGTTTGGATAATATTTGAAAATATTACTAGGAAGTAATTTTGAGAATCATTTTTTCCTCATGGACCCCACCCTACATCAACTTCCGCCATATTTCAGTGCATTCGAATGCGGAAAAATATCAAGAAAATAGAGGTGCCAGCTAGATGCCACGTCAGCTTTTAAAGATGTAGCGGAAGTAATTTTTACAGAGAAACAAACATAAATTTTTATATGGAAGTAACAAAAATGAACTATACTGCATCTACTCCATATATAGCTATTTTCGTGCAAACAAACAGGCCCTAAAGGTGAGGTGCAACCTTTGTGCAGGAAATGGGATCGAGGAAAAATAAAAATCACCTAACAATAGGTGGTGTATATAATTCAATCTTATATTCAAAGCAGTATTCTCTGATTAAGAGGGTTTGTTTAACCGGAGAAGTTTCAAATTTTTGAATAAAAGTGGTTTCCGAGATTTAGCTTTCAAACCCTAAAATTATCTGCAACCTAGTCAATCTCGATCTGCTTTTACTTACTAAAAAGGGTTATTTTCTTCTGCGATATCAAAAGCAGCACTTATTCATGATCCATCCTGCACTGCATGAGAGTACTTTGAGTTTACATGCACTCCCACCCCCACCCCGCTGTTAAGTTGAGATCGAGAAAAGAGATGGGCAAGTTACTTTACTTGATTAAAGTCAGCATGTTTGTAATTGGCCAAAGCCCTACTCTTAATACATTCCTTCCTTTTTAAAACTTTTGATCGAGGTACGTAGAAAGAGCGCACACGCAACGATGAAAGGGATGAAGAGAACATGAAGCCGGCATTAATTGGGGAATAAACTAGCGTCGTCATGTTGTTTCTTTGAAGTGCGTTAATTAATCGATCTCCCGGCCCCTTAGTTTTTAAATTTATTTAATTATTTAATGCATTTGAAAATTAATCATAGATGAGTAAGCTAGCTAGCTGTTACTATATTCCCTTGTCACGACCTTAATTAATTTGCCTACTTTCTCATCAAGCTAGACAAGAATGTTTCTGTTGCTTTCCATCCGCGATTGCTATATTTTAGTAGGTGTTTGAAAATTTGAAAGAGTGAAACAAAAGGCTGGCTGGCTAGCTGTAGGTAATGGTCCCTATAGATGGCAAGTAACTTAGACATGAGGAAATGATCAACAGGAGTTGAAAATTTATAATTCACGCATTTGCTTGCCGAGGTTTAGTAGTCGTCCTAGCTAGCTAGCACATTAAATATATACTAGATTATAAAAGATGTGCATGGTTACTCAATTTTTTTAAAAAAAAGGTCTAATGAAGTGGCGGGGTAGCGTTTTCCTCGCAATCGATCACTAATATAACTCCAAAATCTCATTATGAAAATGGCCGCTCTATTTGAGATCGAGCTACAATATTTTAGATTCTTTTTAAAGGGCATGTTGTTGTTGTTGTGAGAACCAACTTTGATAGTTATCGCTCATCGCGCGCTTTTGCTTAATTTGTGGACAAGGGATCGCTTAGTTAGTTAGGAAAATGAAAGCTGGTTTTTCACTCCATAATAAATAATCTAATGGGCCGGGCCGGACAATTAAGCAAGTCTCAGCTAGCCAAGTGCATGTTTGTATATATCATCCTTCTCCTCCCTCCCTGCACCGCACCGTACGTTCTGATGCGTTCACTATATATGTGTGAAGATGATCTACATGCATCGATCATCAAGTCATTAGTGATCGATGTTGCTACTATGAGATGTAAAGGTAGTGCCTAGCTAAGAAGGCATACGTGAGAGAAAGTAATTAAAGGGGATAGTGTGATATGTATCTCTCAGAGCTTTACAAATTAATATCAAATCAGTCACTACCCTGTTGGCATGGAGATGTGAAAATATACACTTTTATTTCACGTTAAACATGTTGGATATAAAGCACATACAATTAAGTTATAGCATGCAAAATTAAATCCGGAAAATAAAAGAATTAGAGATTCTGGCATGATCGGGAGCAGTCATGTACTCGGGCACAGATGATCCTCTCTCCCCTAGCGGTAAAACCCCCCGGAATCGGTCGATCTCTGTACTCGGGCGAGAGAACAGAGCTTCAGCTCAGATGAAGAAGATTGGCCAAAAAGTCGTAATGTCAAAATATGAACGGAAATCACTTTGAAAACAGAGGAGATATGAGAAAGAATTATAACTTGTTGTGTGTTTTCTGGAGAATGAGAAGGGCTGTGTTTTAGAGAACCGTTACAAAATCCAGCAATCAATTCTGTAACGTTCGCCATAATGTCGATCGTTACGCAATAAACCCACAATCGATCGTTACGCAATAAACCCACAACCGTTGCACACGTGAAAAACGTGCAAAAATAAAGCTAGAGAAAACAAAAAAACATGCGCACATGTGTGATATGCAAAGTCCAAACAATACAAACCCAAAATACTATTCAAAG